AATGAGTGAGTAGAATCGCGCAACATTACGGAATTGGTCAACAATCAAATTATCAAAATTGATTGCACAATTTATAAAAAAAAAAAGTATTTTATAATTTAGATAAGAAGCGTATGATTTTCATTTTAGGAAATGATCAATCGAGCTTGTTCCCATTATTTCAATGAAAGTGCAAAATCTGAGGTCTCAATTTATTGAACAAATACTAATAATATCGAGAGTAATGGTGTGTATTTTGGTTAGTTAAAATATTCGTATCATTTATTTAATTTTAAAACTGTAAACCTGTATTCATTTCAAACGATAACGTAATATACGTTTGTTAGGCATTGTTATTTAATATATGAATCTTTAGGACTGCTACAGTTTTATTATTTATTTATATAATTTTGTATTTATCAGTTCCGAACCCTTCGTCCCTTTAAGCTCCTGGAGTCATCTACAGTTAACTTGTTGCCATTAGCAAACAGCTGTGAAGAGCAGGTGTCCCCTAAAAGACAATAAAGCCCATCCTTTGGTCCTTTAGCAGGATATCCTGCCCCATTCTGAATATTAAAGGATCTTTCAGGACGCAACTTGAATCTCAATTTTTTTTTTAACGGCATTGAGAGTAAAAAAAAAGTAAACGTGTAATTAATGGACTGCAATAGTAAATATGATAGTGAAAGCGAAGAAAAAATGCAAAATCGAAACATTCATTGATAACAAAAGTATTAATTTCTTCGTAATATTTTTTTTTTAAATAATTGGTAATCGGTTGACTGTCGTGGATAATGAAGAGAAGAATAGTTGGGGTGCTCAGTCAAAAATGAAGGCAAAAAATAAATTATAATATTTATTTTTTACATATGCCGACGTTTCGACCTAAAGTTCAGGCCTTCATCAGGGCTAAGAAAATAACCAGATAACAAGGTACGAGAAAATAAAATAAATAAAAAAATATTAGAAAAATAAAATAGATAGATATAAAGTAAAATGAAATTGTTAGAATAATGACTAAGAACTAAGAGATAAATAATAAAAACTGTTACATAGTGTGGAATGATGAAGTAGGCATAATCAAAAAGGGGTGACATTCTTTACGATTCTTTTTTTTTAAATATATATATCTACATAATGTTTATTTAGAGATGGATAAGTATTCGATAGGTCAATTATTTGGATGAAACAAAATTTTAAGGAATTTCAGTTATTGGGTTAAGGAAGATAATTTTATTGTGTTAGGTGACGTTTAGACCTAAACATGTGTGCCAGATTAGGGCTATCGTTCGTGTCTCGATTTCCAAGCGATTATCATTCATAAAAATATTTTCTTATCTGATTAAGTAACAAGAGCTGGAAAGTATTTAATTCATTCGGGAGGTTAAAAAAATATGAGAAAGAAAATTTCCACGATTTTACGCTTTGTGCAACAAGTAACGTTGGTTCCGCGTCTGTCTGTAGTCAGATTCGTTTTTGAGCTTTTTTTTTTATCTATACTTCCTGACTAGAATTTTTTTCTTATTATTTATTATTTTTGGCCATATTGTGGAAGTATTGTCAGAACTTTTCTAACCAGACTGAATAGGTCGATATTCATTCTTTGGTTCCATTACGATTTTAATTTTAATCCGCCTAAGAGGTTTGAAACTTCACTATATAATAAAATTTATATGATTGGAATTCTGATATGTTACATTAATTCATGATGGTTACATTCTGATGTGGATATATGATATGGAAAATTGAACAAAGGTAGGAAACATGCCAGTATATAACAAGCACAAACAGAGAATTTTCTGCTCTGTTCTAAAATATTGAAATTCTGAAAAAAAAAATCTAGAAATGTCAAATTAAATGTGAACAATGTTATGACTAGTTCGAATATATGAATACTCCGAGATACTAATTTAAGAGAAAGATGTTACGTACGATAACCGGAGCTATCTGGGATCAGAGTACAATCACATGGACGAGAATGACCAATAAAGAGCTACTTACAGAAACTGGTCAATCAATATCTCATGATATGAAGGCACGGAGGTTAAGATGGGCGGGGTATGTAGCTGGAAGGACAAAAAACAGATGGGCAGATTGTATCAACAACAAATAGTCCTATTTACAGACCTCGTTTTATCAAGTTATTAACATCCGCCTAAAACTTCGTGAATGGCTTCATCTTATTGTAACTTATAATTATTTTATCTAGGAAAATTCTTAGAAATGAACCGGTTTTTTTTATTAAATTAATTAATATAATAAAGTATTAAAAACTCATAAATACTCATTTGCTTTCCAATTGCATTTTAAGGTAATTTCATCGATAAACTAAACAAAAAAAAAGCTGATCAATAAAAAATAGAGCCTGAATAACCTGCTTATTTTGACATTTAGAGGCAGAAGTCATGCTAAAAGGCACAATTTTTTACCCATTTTGTGATCAAATTATCTTACTATACAAGCGGAAAAGAGACCGAGTTTTTAGTACCTAAATGAATAGACTAACTTTGCATATCTCCAGATTGAAAACACCCTAATTCCAAGAGTTTTTGTAAATAAAATATTTGTAGGTTACGATGGGATGAAACTATTCACGAAGTTTCAGTCTAAAGTTAATAATCCGATAGAAAGAGCGCATAATTCTCTCCGCCTCCGAAGATATTTGATTGCTATCCTCTTTTTAAAAAACAATGCAAGCTAAATTAAAATTTTCAAAATCAAAGGTCATATACAACTACACTTTCAGTGTTCTGTACTATAATTTTATTTTGTCCACTGGTTTGAAATATTTCAATCCGAAAATTCATAACCCCGTCAAAATGTGCGCCCCCCCCTCAAAAATTTTGGTGGCACATGAAACCCCCTTGTGTATCACGGACTAAAAGAGCTGCATGCAGATAACTAGAAAGAAATGATCTAAAATAAACAGAGTAAGTCGGATAAAGGTCTACAGAGTTCGTAATGCCTAAAAATGAAAAAATAGTTTGTATATTTTTTTCTTCTGATTATGAGATATGTGTACTATTCAATGAATCTTGTTTTTAATATTAAAACCCACTGAGTGTTTTGTAATTTCTACTAAGAAGAAACATCATTGTATTACGCAGCCTCATTGCAAAGAAGGAATTCAAAACGTATACTAGATAAGAGAGTAGGTGAATACCATCCCGAACAAAAGATCTTTTCAAACGGAACACTAATAGAGCGGTTTACTAGAACTTTAAATGATACTCTTTGTATATTCTACGACTAGAAGCAGTTTGTTCTTTATATAATCATTACAATATAGGAAAGGTATGCGCTGTAAAACAATTATTGCGTTTGATTAGAACATTTTATATTAGATAACTTAGCTTCCTCATCGTTTTATTGGTGTAGCCCAAATGCGAGATCGAGACGAGTCCTGCAGTTACTTATTAGCTTATTACTGTAGAGATATTACTGTAATTTTTAAATAGAAGAAACCTAACTAAGCCCTAATGAAAAATTAGAGGAGTTAACTTTAAAAGTATATTGGTTATACCAATTATTTACATATAGAAACTTAGATTGTCTAATATTAGTAACTATTTTGCCTTAATTTTTATTCACCGATTTTTGGCAACACTAGTTTTTATTGTTAACAGACGAAAATATTAATATAGGCGTATATACTTCACTAAAATTATAATTTTATTTAATTTTTTTTTTTGGCATATAATATTCTGTCTCGAGGACAATAATTATAGCGATAAATGAACACATTCACACCATATATACAAAAAATATATATAAAATTAACAAAATTAAATTATAATTAAATAATAATACATAAAAACTATGTACAATAAAATAACTTAAGTATAAGTAAACTAAAAACATAGTCAAACATACATACAATACATACAATCAGGCAGAGAACCCAAATCCCAAAAAAAAAAAAAAAAAATAATTTATATCTGTACATAATTATTTAAGGTAAGTGGGTTAGTAGTAGACACTTTTAAGATAATTTTTCAAAATTAATATTAATCACAACTTAAGTTCTGATGGGGGATCTTTGCAAATTAGTTTAATTGACAGCAAATTTAGTCTTTTACCAATTTCGTTTTTCTATACAGTCAATCAGTTTATTATTCATGAAAAACTTAAGAAATTCTGACAGCGTATATTGTACCAGTGATAAACATTCAGATTTTGGATTCAACGTATTTTTTTATAATTTTTTTTTTTAGGAAATTTCTTTATTGAGATATATTACAATCTTTAACATTTAAGGACAACAGTAATAGTGATAAAGAATAGCTCATTCATACTATACACAATAAATAAAAATAAATGCACGGCAATATAATAAAACTAAAAGTAAATGTATATAAACTAAAAGATACTAAACTAAACTAATTTAACAAAATAATTACTTAAATGCATGCTTTTATACAATATTTACAATATTCATTCACTCAAGGTCTCCGAACCTTTTCCCTCACTCGTGGATGGAAAGGCAGGACTCTAGGAGATTCCAGCGTCTTTCACTCAGCCGCATCACTGATATGTTTTATAATATTAAAAAAATAAATAATAAATTCTCCACAGTTTCAAACAAGGAAATGGCAAACTACAGATGAATAAACCAAAAATTCAAACCCATCTCCTAATGAACAGTGATAAGGAAAGTTCCAGGAAGCAAACTTAAAAAATCAACCAATCAGATATTGTACGATGATTGGGGCAAATTTAATCGTATTTACAATCTCTTTTGTACGTATAAATCTTATTATCTCTTTATGAGTTGAAAACTGTTTACTACCGGTACATTAACCATAAATCGTCTAAACACTTTTCCATACCAAAACAAAATCTCTACAATAATCGATTTGTTAAAATCGATAAAAATAATTGTATCATATAACTTTCATCATATATCTTATATCGATACATTGGTATAGATAAGACAAGCCAAATGCGTACCACTGAGCTCACATACGTAACAGAAGGAACAAAATAGAAATACAAAAAAACTAAATAATAATAAAACTTACATTTTATCCTTAGTAGGTAAATGTGACACTCCAAAACTCCTCAGAATATAACCAAGCATTGCTGAGAATTGGTAAAATTCTAAGTCTTGTTTGAGGTTATCAACAGCTGTTTAATCGTTTCGATAATATTTCGTATTCAAGCTAGCTTTTGATTTAATTATACGATATTTTTAATAATATATTTAGCTTTAAGGATTTGATTAAAACAAAGAGACAGAGAAATCCTTCAGAGTTTGAGGGATTTTTTTTTAGAGGAACATTTTAAACATATATTTTGCACTTAGACTTTATAGACAAATAAGTATCAGAAAAGAATGAGATTTTAAAAAATAAATAAAATCTATATAAACAATTCACTATATTTCAATATTAGGACAGGGATAATATAGGTGGAAAAGTTGACTTTTGAAGATTATGATCAGGATATTCTACGTTTAAAGCTAAAAATGCACTGTTTTCGAGATAAAGCAAGACAAAGGGTTTGCAACCACGTAGGATTACATTAATTGTATCGTTGCCATGGGATACATATCACATGTTGGTTAGGTTCTTATGAATGAGAGAGGAGTTGTATTATTTCTTATTAATAAACTTTAAGATGAGCTTGATTTGACAAGACAATTTGATTAACCTTCCAATTAGCAACTGAACTACTCCTGAAGATGTCCAGTTTTGATAAATCATTTGATAAAATTAATTATAACTGAACGAGTTTCCATGGGAACCAAAGCAGTATCGCAGTAGCTATATTTATGTCGTTGGTTTATTGTAAACAGTCACTATCTAAAACTAAAATACAAAAAAATAAAAAAGTATAGCAATTTCGCAATTTCTTTCACTTACCAATTATGTGATGTATAATAAGGAAAAGAGATTAAGGTTAGACTGAAGGCGGGGAATGCTTGTTATTTTTCTGTGACAAAACTACTTAGTTCGCGCCTCTTGTCACGGAACTTAAAAATTAGAATCTATAAAACAATTATCTTGCCTACAGTTCTTTATGGATGCGAAACTTGGCCGCTTACATTAAGGGATGAGCAGCGTCTTAAGGTTTTTGAAAATAAAGTATTGCGTAGAATATTCGGACCGAAGAAGGATGAGTTAACCGGAGAGTTCAGACGGTTACACAAAGCCGAATTGCGTGAGCTGTATCCGGGTAATATAATTGAGGTAATTTCATCGCGGCGAATCAAATGGGCTTGTAAAGTTGTTGGGCTTAGTAACGAAAGAATTCCTAAAAGGTTAATATGTGCGGTGCCGAATGGTAAGCGTCCGAGGGGTAGACCGAAGCGAAGGTGGGAAGATTGCATTAAAGCCGATCTGAAGGGACTGGGTTTGGACGGCGAACGGTGGAGGGAGGTGTGTAGTGGGCGATTGGTGGTGTCGGCATCGAACCTTCGGGTTCGCTAAGCCATTTATTATTATTTATTCAAAGTATAGCGCTAAGTGAAAGTTGTGTGTTGCGAGCACCAGATGTTTTTTAAAACATTTTTCTTACTAAGGAATAAGAAAAATATGTGAGATATTATTTCTTCTTTGTCAATAGTTTCAAAGTAATGAGGGGTTACAGAACTAAAATAAAAAACATTTCGCTTTATTGACGCCAAATAGATCGATTTACAGCTCATTCATAATTTCTTTTTATCAGGTGGACTTCGATGGAATCCAAACCAAGCATCCGATTACATTAGTGCTTATTGAATTTAAGAACGATGGTTCTTGATGGAGATATGAGAAAAAACACAATATAAGACAGAAATTGCTAGGTGGCCGTCTTTGATCCTCGATTTTGGATGGAAGCCGACATGGGATTTTAGAGGATTTTTCACGTTTTTTCTGCATTCGATAATGAACCCACATTCAAATCCAATTATTAATTTTCTTGATATCAAATCCTAAATTTGCTTAAAATTATACCATTTGAGAGAGTGCAACGAGCGACAGTTAACGAATTTAAAAGAAAAAACAGTGGGGACTTTGCCGAAGTAACACTGTGATCATGAAGAAATTCCTTTTATACCATGACCATGCGATCTTGATCAAAGCGTAGTCACGCTTATATAGGATCTGTTATAGACAACTTCGGCAAAAATCTAATGGTAATCATAAGATTGAAATTGTAGTTTAAAAAATATTAGATTGTTCATTATGTTCAATAACGTAAGACCTGGTTGTATAAAACATATTTTAATCCCGATAAAGTAAAATATTTGAACTTGATATTTGATCTTATGGGTAGATCAGTCGGGGCCCAGTGCACATTTAAGACCGAGGACTAAAAGATCTTCCTTGGAAGGTCCTTAGAGCACAAAGGAGCCTCGGATCCTGGCCTAAGGGTAGAGGAAGGACCCTCCAGGACATTGTTTGCCATCGCTGAGGCCTCAGCCAGGATCCAGAACCTTCTTTCTTAGCAGACCTAGCATTACTTGTTTAACGGATTCAAAGGCTGTTTCATCAATATGATTATTTCGATCTGTTAGTAAATATATATATATATATATATATATATATATATATATATATATATATATATATATATATATATATATATATATATATATATATTTATATATTTATATATAAAATTCAGAAGGCAGTCATTTTAAAGGTTTTTATTAGTGGCAACGTTTCAACCCAAACATGTGAGCAATCATCAGGGCGTGTTCGAGCACTGATGATGACCCACATGTATGGGTTGAAACGTCGACACTAATAAAAACCTTTAAAATGACTGCGTCTTGAATATCTATCATCCATAAATCAACAATAGTTATTTTATTTAATTTCTCAATAACTGAATCTACGCGGTATATATGAAAGAAAAACAGAACTAATAATTTAAAAAAAAAATTTACTTGAGAGAAAGCTTTCATACTGGGTTGGCAAATAAGTCGTTTCGGTTTTTCAGAGTGAAATAAAATTCAATGTATTATAGACATAAAATTTATTTTAATCGACCATTATTTAATATGACTTTTCTCATCCTTCCTCTAACTGCATAATGCCATGTTCATAGAATGTTTAGAGTTCATTATTAAAAAACTGGTCCAAGTGGTTTTTTAAGTCCTCTTCCTCTTGGAATTTCTTTCCATTCATGGAGTTCTGCAAAGACCGGTATAAGTGGTAGTCACTTTGAGCTGTGTCTGGTAAATAGGTAGGGTGGGGCAAAAGGTCCCATCCAAGGCTCAATAATTTATTGCGAGTGACCAATGAGGGCCTAGCGTTGTCTGTGTGGAACACAACACGCTTCCAATCATTCATAACTCTTGTTCTACAAATTCGATGCACTATGTCCGTTGGAAAGCTGAATTATTGCTCATCACAGCCATATAAATGATTTTCTTTATTTAATGCTTACATAAGGAATAAATGAACAAAAACTCCTTATAAGTATTTATTTTTTATCTCCATTTGTAGTTTGTTTACGAAGGTCCTGTTGATGTCATTATGTGGCCCAAAATTCCTGCTAATATTTTTTAGTTAGCTAAAGTCGTACTGAAGTTATAACAAGTTTTGTGATTTTCGAAAAAAAATCGTGTTAGGGATCCAAACATTAAGCCTGGAAACATAGCAGAGCTTGTGCAAATGGTTTCCTACGCTTGTGTGCGACACATTTAGGGCCAAAGCAATCTCTTGCAGTGATTGGGTGGGATTTTGATCAACAATGGCCTTAACATTGCTCGTTTCAATTTCATGTAGGCGACCAGACAGTTGAGCATCATTGATTTCAAAATTGTCTGAATGAAATTTGGCAAATCAATTTTGGTAGGTGCGTTCAGTTAAGGCACCATTCTCATAAACACTGCAAATTTTTCAATGAGCTTCTGCAGCACGCTTACTATTTTTAAAACAATACAACAAATTAAGCCGATAATGAATGGTATTTTCTTCCATATTCACAGTGCAATAGCAAACACAATACTAAGCTAGTTTCAACAAGAATTAACATATATAGTTGTTGACATATTACAAATAGGATAAACAATCCACCGTAGTGACTAATGCATCAGATGAGAAGTGTATCATAGTGACATAAAAATAAACCGACAGGACTTATTTGCCAACCCAATACTAACAGAGATCATTCACGAACGTTATCATAGGTTTCTTCCGTAAAGACATGATCTGATATCGATCTGATTTATGGATAGATAAAAAATACAGTAAGTGGACTAAAATGAAACTAACCTCATTATATATTAAATAAAGTTATAACGAGAGCAAAACCTTCTGATTTCACATAATGAAAATTTACTAAGTTTTTATTGTTTATAAGATCGTCTCTGAACTCTTCGATAGAATTCAGCGGGTCTTTTTATTCATAGATTGAAACGCCGATTACTCATAGGTTTCATTAGGGTAGCTGGATCTGTAGTTTGTAACCTCATTATGATAGTCCGTGGTACAGACCCCTTTTTATGAAATTATTAACATCCGGCTGAAACTTCATAAATATTTCTCATCGTAGTCTACAAATACTTTATTTACGAAAATTCTCGGAATTTAGGCGTTTTCAATCTGGAGATCGGCAAACTTTGTCTATTTAATTGGGTAATAAAAACTCGTGTAAACCCATTTGCTTTCCGTTTCGATCGTAAGATAACTTGAGCACAAAGTCGAGAAAAAAGATGGTCTTCAAAAATATTGAGCCGTTTGGCGTGACCTAGACCTCCAAATTGTCAAAATAAAGAAGATATATAGGCCAAACGGCTAAATATTTTTGAAGGCCACCTTTTTTGTCGACTATGTGCTCAAGTTATCTTACGATCCAAGTAGAAACCAATGAGTATTTACGAGTTTTTAGTACCTAATTAAAAAGACAAAGTTTGCCGAGCTCCAGATTGAAAACGCTCCGATTCCGAAAATTTTCGTAAATAAAATATTTGTAGGTTACCATGAGATGAAGCTAGTTAAGAAGTTTCAGCCAGATATAAATAGTTTGATAAAAAGGGGCCTATACCACGGACTATAACCTCAATGGTTTTATTTTTCAATTTATTTTTTGTTTAAATATATTTATGTTTTTAAAATAAATAAGTTTTAAGTAAATAAATTTTTTATTTTCATTTTTCACATGTTTTGTAACCTTCCAGAAGGGTTATTCTTTCGCTGGAATCCAACAGGTAGATATAGTAATCGATTGATGGATTA